GGCGACATTTTGCTTCTACATTCCTAACAACATCCAAAGGTCTGGCACTCAGACAGCCCATCAGAGCCTAGCACAGATCTAGATTTGCTAGGTCACTGACACAGATGACACAACACCAAAGATTTATTTTTTAATTCTACCAAACTGAGAAAATTAGCCCCAAATACCTAAGCATTATTTCTACCTCAAAAGGATTACTGACTGCTATAAGGATTCTTCTCAAGAATGAGCCGCAAAATAATAACCTTGTCATCGTTCACCATGTGGCTCTGAGACCAGATTCCACCTCATTGACTTAATATTTGCCTCACACAGGGCCAAGCATGATGTTGTGCACATAGTAGGTGCTCAACAAACATTTATCAGCCAAAGGAAGAAATAAAACTATAAATATTTGGGGGACTTGTATACTCTTTGGATAAAAGTCTGGTTTTTAGAGGACAGAGGAGAAGATAGGTAGAAAAGAGTCTGTTAAACTCAAAAGATAAAAAGGAATGGGAATGGTTTTACAATAGAAACACAATGACACTAGAAAAGTTTATTTTCTCATTCCTTCACCCAACAAATATTTACTGAGCGTACCACGACCTATTTCAGGTAGTGGAGACACATAGCAAAAGAGAAAGATAAACTCCCCCATCTTCGTGGAATTTACATTAAAGCAAAGGAGCTGGCTGGGTGCGGTGGCTCACGTCTGTAATTCTAGCACTCTGGGAGCCCGAGGCGGGAGGACTGCTTGAGGTCAGGAGTTTGAGACCAGCCTGAGCAAGAGCGAGACTCCGTCTCTACTAAAAATAGAAAACAAAATTAGCCAGTCAACTAAAAATAGAAACAAAAACTTAGCTGGGTGTGGTGGCTTGCACCTGTAGTCCCAGCTACTCAGGAGGTTGGGCAGGAGGATTGCTTGAGTCCGGGAGTTTGAGGTTGCAGTGAGCTATGATGATGCCACTGCACTCTAGCCCGGGTGACAGAGTGAGACTTTGTCTCAGAAAACATAAATAAAAAAATAAATAATAAAGCAAAGAAGCTAAAAGCATAGGCTTTGGAGTCCAGCTTTCAAATCCAGCTCCATCAGTACCAGAAGAGGCAGGAAGGTCATTCACTGCTCAGCTTGCTCACCTTTATGCAAAGGTTTTATGAGAAAAATCTCAGTAATACAGTTCTAAAGTTCCTAAAATATTTGAATCAATGCTGGACATTCCAACTCATTCTGACTCAGGGGAGAGGCGAAATTACAAAGTTTCAGTATGTTGCTGTTCATTTACTTTGGGCCACAGGGATTGTGAAAGAAGTATACTTCAGAAACAGCATTGCTTTTGGTTTTATTTCCTTTGCCTTTAACATTTGGTACTTTTTGTTTGTTTTTTTTTTAGATCCTCTTGCCTCAGCCTCCTGAGTAGCTGGGACTACAGGTGCATGCCACCACGCCCTGCTAATTTTTCTATTTTTAGTACAGACGGGGTCTCACTCTTGCTCAGGTTGGTCTCAAACTCCTGAGCTCAAGCAATCCTCCTGCCTCAGCCTCCCAAAGTGCTAGGATTACAGGTGTGAGCCACTGCTCCCGGCCTGCTTGCTCACCTTGAAAATGGAGATAATAGTACCTATCTTACAGTATTATTTGTGAGGATTAAGTGAGACTCCATATAAAGCAATTAGCAAAGTACCTGGCACCTAGTAGATTTTTAATAAATTATATACTCTGATCACTACCACACCCAAATTAGTCCTATCATGTTCCTGTTCTTTCTTTCAGAACCCTTATTTCGATTGGCAATTATCTTTCCTGCTTTATTATCTGACTCCTGCACTCCTCCCAAATGTTCAACGTTCACCAGATGGCAAGTTAGTTAGACAGAAGAGACCCCACATAACCACTCTAGAAGAAGCCCCTTACTGCGGACTAGAGGGAAAAGACGAAATGAAGGGTGCTGCAATAACGACCACTTTCCACCAAAGCAGGATTCTAAGCCGAGAGTCTTCGGTGGGAAATCACCAGGAGGGGAGTGGGAAAATGAAGAGCTGGAGGCCCACGGAGATGGTGAGAGAAGAGAGACTGTGTCTTCCCACTTCATAATAATTAAGGTTCTCCTGCCGCTCTGAGTCTCAGCCAGGCATATAAGTGGATTTGCGACCTCTCAGCTGATGAAAACCACCACACAATGGGAGTAAAAGTGTGCTATCTTGTTTCTTACCTGTTGATGAGCCACCTGAGCCCAGCGGGTTTTATAAGTGGCCTCAAGCCCAGTTACTGGTTTAGTTCCCAGTGGCAGAGAAGACTTGAGTCAAAGAACCCCGATTCTCTGGGCAAGAGCAGGGTTGAGCATCCAGGGGTATGTTCTAATGGCCCAGGCCTGCTCCTGTCCGGCACTCCACCTTTGAGATGTTGAACTCGAAAGGGCTATACCAGACCAGGAGTACCTGCTGCCTGGAGCTACTATTCTGATTCTTGGGGCTCACAAGCAGACCCCCAGCAGCCATGGAGCAGGTAACATGTACCAGCACACTAGATACAGTACCTGCTCACACCTCAGGCCAAAGGCACGATGCCCCAGGCTCTACCTCCAATTCCACCTTCCTCTTCCATCTTTCTCTCCTAGCAAATCCCTGCCCTCCTGCACTCCAGCCTTTGTACTTAGATTCTCCTTCTCTGCCAACCCCGTTCAGACTGATGACTGGTAGGAGTGGTCTTCCCAGCTTTCCACCTGGGTATTTCCCCAAGAAGTTGCCCCCCTGAGAAGGTTATCACCTCCACTCCAGCCTGCCACCACCTGTGGTGATGTGACCCACTCAGCCTTAGGCCCAAAGCAGGCCTCAGGCTTTCAGTTCCCTGGGCCCTCACTCGTCTGACATCAGGCTCCACGTACCGAGCACAAAAATATGGCGAGTCTAGCTTAGTGGTTTGTAACTAAAATTAAACAAATAGGCAGGCTGGGCACGGTGGCTCACACCTATAATCCCAGGGCTTTGGGAGGCCAAGGTGGGAGGATCACTTGAGGCCAGGAGTTTTAGACCAACCTGAGCAACACAATGAGATTCTGTCTCTACAAAAAAAATTGTTTAAAAATTAGCCAGGCATGGTGGTGCACACCTATAGTCCTAGCTACTTAGGAGGCTGAAGCAGGAGGATCGCTTGAGCCCAGGAGTTTGAGGCTGCAGTGAACTATAGTCACACCATTGCATTTGAGCCTGGGCGACAGAGTGAGACCCTGTGTCTCAAAAAAAAAAAAAAAAAAAAAAAATTAAATTAAATGAACAAAATGAGAAGGTAATGTTAGCTGGCATTTAGTACATGCTTACCATATGCCAAGCACTGTGCTAAGCTCTTTTCAAGTATGAACTCACTCACTCTGCCCAACCAGCCTATGAGGTAGGTCCTGTTATTAACCCACTTTACAGAAGAAAAACTGAGCCTTAAAGAGGCCAGGAAAGTTGCCCCAGATGACAAGCAAAACTTGGCAGAGCCATGATTCAAACCCACACAGTTTCGTTAAAGGGCTCAACTCTGCCCAACTCTGCCTGCAATGCAGAAAAACACAAATATGCCTCCAGTCCCTGCCCTTAAGAGGCCCACAGCACGGCCAGGGAAGCAAGCACAGACACTGGGTTTTCGCCACAAAAATCTTAGTTTTTCAATTCACAGTGGGGCATAGCTTTTTCTTTATGATTCTCTTAAACAACAGATAAATGTATAACTTGTACAGTTGAGAACTTTTCTGCTGATGAATGAAACAAAACTGACTGCAACCAAAAGTAGAGGACAATTACATAATCTCTTTTAAAACTGGAAATGACTCATTAAGAAAATACTTTCGCATTCTTTCATGGGTACTAATGGCTAAAAAGGAAAGGACACTTATCTATAGCTAAGGAGACGGCACTTCTCATACCTAACCAAAATAGGACATGAGAAATCCTGGGAAATTTAGTCTCATATTTGCTAATTTGACCTTCTCTTAGACTCTCTACTCATAAAATTCCCCATGATAATGTTCTAAGTGAGCCTAAAAGGTAGTTCTGACTCATTCTAAGAGAATGTTAAGAAGCTGTACAACTGGCAATGTAATGATCAATCCTCTCAAGGAAGAGATAAATAATGAAACAGAGTGTTCTCCACTTATCTAGGCTCTTCTCATTGTCTTTTGATGCATCACCAGTGATTCGGTTTGAGTCAGGCATCCAACAACAACTGGGCAAAAGAATCAATGCGGATCCAAACGATGGTGACGCACAGGTGGAACAGACTCAGGCCAACACCCAGAGGAAAGGGCAGCAGAACTAAGTAGCACATTGTTAGGACAATAGCCAAGGTTCTCTATGTGAACTCAACATTTATCATATTTTTAACTTTCCCCAGGAAACGTCTGTTGTGTATCTCAGGAGAAATGATGGGGCACCTGATAATATCTGATGCCAGAATGCCTTCCATTATTATAAATGTCCCTCTGGATCCCAGGACTCCTCCCCACCACAGAATCCAAGACAGAAAGGCAAGCTAAAGCTCACCACCTTTCACAAAGTATGCCAGAGACAATGCTGTATGTTCCCCAAATCCATTTCATTTTCCTCCTGACACACAGCCAGACTAATTTCTCCATGTCTACTGCATTTAGGTGGGGCTGGCCACATGACCGAGTTCTGACCCATGGGCTGGGGAGGAAATGATGCACATCACTTTCAGGCCTGGTCCCTAAAATCTCTTATGAGATCCTCCATGCACTCTCCCCCACCCCCCATCCACTAGCCAGATGCAGAAGACCCTACAGAACACTCTAAGACCTCAGAAGATAATGGAGCCACTGAATGACCACAGGGCACAAAGCTCACCCAGCCCAATCTAGGCTAGACTGTGACATGAGTGAGAAACAAGCCTCCACCGTGTTGAACCACAGATTCTCACAGTGGTTTGTTCCAGCAGCCAGTGTTGATCACTCCGATGGGTATTACTTGCCTGACAGGATTGCACTGTGGGGCACCAGTTAATCTGCAGCTTCCACACCTACCTGCATCATTGCCAATGCAATCGATTATCAGGCAGACTCCTAGGGGCTTGCTCTGCATCCTGTATCTCTCTTCAGGTATGCGCTAGAAAGGAAGGCAGGGATTGTTAAAGACTCCAGATACTGCTCTGTTCCTATAAGGTCCCATCCATACTGTCTCTTCTTTTGGGTTTCCTCGATAAGCATCCCTTGGGCAGATGAGTCACTCAACAGACACAGCCTGAAGTTTCCCATCACAGCTGACATTTCCCACTAATATCAATTTTTTCCTAATTAAGGTAATGTGATTAAGACAAGGTATTTCAGTTTTTATTTAATTGTAATGAAAATTGCAGCCTCTTTTCCCATGTCTTCACTTAGCAGAATAAAGAGAATTTGAAACTGAGAGAAAAGACAGACCCTATGTCTCCACAGTAACCTGAAGGTATAAAGTCATACCTTTCCAAACCAGTACAAAAGAAGGCCTTCTATTGCCTCTTCTTACAGAGAAGAGGTATTGGCCTAAGAAAAAGCCAGAACAAGTCAAGGTTCAGTGAGGTGTCACTGCCTGCTTCTATGTGCAGCAGTCACTCAGCTGAGACCAGAAGTGCCACTTTGGAATCAAGCTGTATTCTAAAGTTCATAAATGCAGTCCACGCTAACATCTTTCTCTTTGCTACATCCAGGGTTTCCTCTTAAATGAGTTCTCAGGAGAACAACACTCTCCGCATCCCATTGTGGCAAAGAATTCTTAATGGACAGATATTTTTTAAAGAAATCAGTGTTCTCTATATGTACTGTGCATACAATACAATACCAAATCAGATCATTTATTCTGTACCTGAGGCAAAAAAGCTCCCGATTCCTGAATGGATGTCTTCACCGGTTCCCCTGGGGAATGGGAGAGAGAAATCATTCACAAAGCTGAAGGAGAACAAAGTCCACCTCACGCTGGCTGAGTTTCTATCACAGCTGTTCTCTTCCTCTATGTTCTTTAACTACCTCTTCTTTCCCCAGCGTTACTCACCCCAAGGTTCCAATCTTGCACTGAAGAACCTGACTGGTAAGAAAACACAGTCTCTGTGCTACACAGGGGCTATGTAGAAAAGCTGTTTAAAGTGAGGACCAGGTGGGTTTTCAATCCAGTAGGGAGAATCTAATAACCTCACCACCTAACAATATTGATAGCTTTTTCATGTGTGCTGAAACAGCTGTCAACACCTAAAGCAAACAGCCTTTGAAAGGGAAAGCTTCCGTGTGTTTGCTAGTTTGGCCATGTTTTCATAGTCCAGTGATACTGAGAGATCATAAAATAAAATGCCAATGTCAAGATATGGGACAGTGAGCCTGGTAAATGTAGATGAGCCTAAAGTAAATTTCTACATAAATATGACTTGATTAGACCACGGAGGTGGAAGAACCACCAGTTTTGAAGCCATAAAGGGGCTGGCTCAAATCCTAGCACTATCACTGATGAGCTCTTGGACAAGTTATTTCCTTGAGTATCAGGGGTCTATTAATCTCTAAAATATAGTAGCTCCCCCTTATCCGTGGGGAATATGTTCCAAGACCCCCAGTAGATGCCTGAAACCATGGATAGTATTAATGCCAAAGCATATACATATAATGTTTTTTCTGTATATGGATACCTATAATAAAGTTTAATTTATAAATTAGGCCCAATAAGAGGTTAACAACTAATAATAAAATAGAACAATTATAATAATATATGG